TATTTTAAAACAAAACAAATAAGAAAGTGACTAAACTAATAAAAGGAATCTAAAGTACTAATTATAAAACTAAAGAATCTATTTAACAAATTGGTACCTGCTAACCAGGATATTTATCTACTTGATCATAGTAATTATATAGAACTCAGCTGATATAAAAAGAAAACTAAGCTAAATGCATTTTAACCTGTGCAAAAGACTAAAAATTATATGCACATGACTTTGCTGTTAGGCTGCATATCTCAAATTCTCTTTATCGCTCTAACTTTAAATTCATATTCTATTCTAAAGTATAACAAATATATCAACTCTATGTGTTTTTCTAGTCTTGTCTTGTCTAATTGGTGGGTAAGTTCTTAAAAATCTTTTAAGTCCTTAATGTACCAGGGCCATATTTCCAAATAAGAAATAAATTACTTCCTATATAGCCACATTTTTGTTGTGTTTATGTCACAGAGTTACCAAATATAGAAGTGGTAAACAATGCTAATCTTTTAACAAAAGGTAGCTTAATTCTCTACTTTTTGTCAAAAATTAGTTTTAAAAGTGTCAAAGCAGTGAGAGAAGTTTTGGTTTTGTGAGTTTCTAACTAAAGAGAATTTTTTCAAGAGTTTATTATATCCTTCTGTCTTCAAACTTCTTGAGTTGTCTTTTTTACTTGCTGTTTCCAGAGACTCCTCTGGTTTGAATACCAAATGCAAAGAAGAGTCCACCCAAGTAGGGTGAAATTGGGAGTTCTGGGCCACTTTTTTGGTACCTGGGTATTAAAGTATTTATTTTGCTTTTTATATTGCTTAAAAAACCTATATCCTATAGTAATCTTTAGCATCTATATAAAAATCTGGATATTAAAAAATTATATAGTTAGAACTCTCTATTTTTATATTTTATAATCAAATTCGATGATGACAAAAAAAAAAATTTCTCGTCACTCATATGTATCAAGAAAAATAGATATTCCCACACCTAATATCATATACACTTATCTATATATAAATCAAGATACCAAAAATTAGATATCTATTTTTCTTTTATAATACTTTTGATAATGTTTACTAACATAATAGCCTCCAATATGATTAGGATATCGCATACTTTCAGAATGAGTAGGCTTACCACAAATAGTACAAGGAAAGCGTTTTATAGCATTTTTATGAAGCCAACATTCTTCAGGTTTTATATATGACCGACCCATATTTTACCAGTATATAAAAGAAAATCACATATATATTTGCCTAATTGCATTTTTTATATATGCCTACTACATATTAATTTTCAAATTGAATAAAAATATTTTATAAGTAACAGATAAGGAATTTTGTACCAGCACCTATATACAAATTTATACTATTATAGTAGTACATATATGTAATAGATATAGAAAAGATTTTTCTAAATTAGCAAAACTTCATATATATCTAGAACGAAAAAATCTATGCAAATCTAGTAATATTCTAAATTCTATTGTAGCTCCAACACCATTATCTCAAAATTCAGCTACAGATCAAATTCTGATACAAAACTATATTCCAGTAGATGATTTAATCCAATTAGATAATACACCCTCATTACCTATTCAAAATATATCTTCAGATCTACCCCAAAATGATACTGAATGGTTTGATAATATGGAAGATAGATATAATACAAGCACTGATGAAAAATGGCCTGAATTAGCTGGATCCTTGCTCTATGACTATCCAAAAAGAAATATCATAACTGTAGAAGGCAATTTTGGTGGTAATCCAGTAAGAAAAAATTATAAATTAATGAACAAAGAGTTAATATTCGAAGAATATGAATCTAATTCTGATCCTTTAAGGCCCCATTAGAACTTAACAACGATGAGTTTATGGCAAGCAATTATTCTATCTCCTAAAATATAATATATAGATTTAATTGTTATGTTGAGAACTCCAATAAATATTTAGAAGCCCTATATATGCCCCAGCTTATAGCAAATGCAAGAGAACAAATTACAAGAGTCCTTAAAGCTAAATTGTGTAAAAAAGATCAAATAAAAACCACATTAATTGCTCAATGTATATATTCTGGGCATTTTAGCAAAGAGAAAGGCAAACTTAAAAGTCCATTAACTATAATTGCTTATCACAGAAGCCTCATGTGTATTATTCTTACAGAAGAAGATATCAATGAATATATAAATTTATCTATATCAGAAATAGATAACGCTATAAACTTATTTATGCAAGAAGGATCAAGAATGAATTTGGTAAAGATTAAAATGTTAACTATTAAAGCTTATACTTATCAAAGAACAACTAGTGGATCATATATTCCTACTCCCAAAAAGCTCGCTAATACAAAGTGTACAATCAATCCTGATAATTCAAAAATAATTAATCCAGTTACAAATATGTCATCTAATAATTGTTTTCAAGATGCATTTGCTTGTTATTTTGCTTATAAAGATGGTCATACAGAACACCTTGAACGAATATATACAAAAGGATTATAAGTAATACTTAGATATAGTTAATTTAGATGGAATTCCTATGCCTACTCCAATTTGCTCACGTATCTTTAATAAAATTGAGGAGATGAATTCAGATATCTCTATTAATATCTGGAATGGAAAGAAAAAACAGCTACTTCTAAGCCTGTAATAGCTAGTAAAAACTATAATAGACAACATATTATTCAGCTAATGGCTCTTACTGATATTACCAAATCTAAAGATGATAAGTATGGGCAAAAGAATCATTTTCTTTGGATCAAAAACCATAAAAGGTTAGTATACAAAGATACAAAGTAGAGGTTGGAACCGGTTTTATTTTTATTAACCGGTTTTATTAACTTTTTAAAAATCACAACTGAATATAAATCGGTTATAATATATCCGGTTAAATCCGGTTATCCGGTTATAATAATCTGGTTAAATCCAATTAATGGTTGTAATATAACCAATTAATCAGATTTAACTGAATTATTATGACCGATTAATCGGATTTAACCGAATTGTTATACCCAGTTAAATTCATCATGTATATAGATCAATAGATATACGTGTACATTCAGATATGTATAATTTGAATACAAAAAAATGTAAACGTAAGCGATGTCGTAGTGTAATAACTAATGATAGTAAAAGCAAGAATTTTAGACACAAAAATTGATAATCTGATGCATATTAATTCCGTATTTACCTGATATTTGGCATTTTTCATTTATCTTCATAGGACTTTTTATTGGGTTACTGGAATGATAATCACTGATCGTCAAAAACAAGAAAATTTTAATTTTTTTGATAATCGGATAATCTGATAATTTATTACATGATGCCTTGCAAACTTTTGTTTGATTAGCTAATGCGAGTCTATTACCTATAGTGTATATC